GAAGGGAAGGGAAGGGAAGGGAAGGGAAGGGGGATGCTGCTTCTCCCCAGCCAGGCTGAGAGAGGCACGGGCAGCCAAGGAACCCGTGTGGGGCTCCCCACCAACCTGGCTGCTCTGTGGGGCCAGGGAAGCCCTTGTGGTACAGCCTCAGCCTTAGACTGAATTACCTCCCTTCCACTAATTAGCACCTCCCGAAGTACAGGGTAAATCAAAGCAGCCGTGGGTTAGAATGGCCTAGGGTAAACGGAGTTATGATTTAGACTGAATTGGTGCAGCACAGGCCAAAGTGCTCAGAACAACTGCTCGGATTCGATCCGAGTTCCTGCTACTTTATTAACTTAAATTAGCTATTCCCAAACACAGCCTAAATAAGGACAGGATCCCTCCCTTCCCTGGGAGGCTTTGAGGATGCTAATGAGCCCTGCAGCATCAGCTGCCTGGCCCTATTCTGCTGCTAACAACACTCTTGTTTATACATATAAGGTAATTAATTTACAGGTGACTTCTAATCCAAACGCTTTGGAGTCCTAGATTCTTTTCTCCCACTTACACCTGGAATATTAGCAATGACTAGCAGGATGTATTTTTTTTAACTATGCTCCTTTAAGTAAGTATCCACAGCTTATTTTCCAGATGCTGTGGAGTTAACAGCTCCTTTTAGTTAAACTTATTTTCATGACAGTATTGTACTTAAAATTCTACTGCTACACTAAATACTATGGGCAGAGAACTGGAGGTGTTTCATGCACCTAACAGACTCCTCACCCACCAAAAATGAATTCTGAATTCAGACAGTTAGGACTGTTAGGGATAACTTCTATTTCCATCATCTCTTTTCTATGTAACTCCAGCAGAACATCACTTGGTGGGCAGTGGATCCTTGCTGGATCTAATGCAGCACAGATTCCTAAATGTAGGCTTTAGGGTCATTTCCAGCAGGATGCACAGAAATCTGACTGAGGGGGCTGGACTCTGAAAACTTCCCCCATGGGGAGCTGTATTTTGAATGTCCCGATAGAGCAGAGATCAATGTGCTGCTGAGTTAATCTCTCCACCAGCAGCTGCACAACTCCTTCCCTGGGCTTGGCCACAGATCCCAGGGTTACCCAAACACTGACCCATCAGATAGGGAAACTGAGGCAGCAAAGGCTCCATCTCCTCAGATCCCACATGCATCCCCAGTGCTGGCAGAGCTGGAAGTGCACTGTAGGCTGTGCTCAACTCCCTGTTTTCTTACAGCAGATTGTCCTGACAAGGGTTTTCCTTGGATCACAGGATATGATGAGAGAACTTATCATTTAAGAAGTTAAGAGCACCTTAATCAAAGTAATTACTGAAACTGATCTGATTGGGAAGTAATTTATTTAGAAAAAGTTAGGACTGCCAACTGGGAAGCTCCGACCCAACCCCTGAGCTGATTGCTTTAGATGTGGATGATTTCCCACTTAATTCTTCAAGTGCTATTGAAAATGTCTTCATCTGTGAATGTCAAATATTTATTTTTCTAAAACACTAAATAATGGCCATCCAGGCATCTCAACACGTAAACAACATGTTAGATAGGCTTTCAAGCAGCCGGCTGTACGTGAGTTTCTCCGAAGCAATCGGAAGACTGCACCTCACTGCACTCCAGGGAATTCCCCCGGGATGGAGCTCTGGGAGGGCTGGCACTGCCACATCCTGCCTGGGAGAGCTCCTCTTAAACCAGCTGCTCAGGGCTTGTTCTTCCCTCCCAGGATCCCAGCAATGATTCCACGTGAACAGCCTGCCCCCTGAAAATCACAACCCATCGTGGATTTGATTAATCAACTCTGCACTTGTGGTGCACATTTGCATTTTCTGAAGATTTAATTGGGATGTACAAACATCAAATCGCAGAATCCTAGAACGGTTTGGGTTGGGAGGGACCTTAAAGCTGATTCTGTTCCACCCCCTGCCATGGCAGGGACACCTTCCTCTATCCCAGGTGCTCCCAGCCCTGCCCAGCCTGGCCTGGGCACTGCCAGGGATGCAGGGGCAGCCACAGCTGCTCTGGGCACCTGTGCCAGGGCCTCACCCCCTCACAGCCAGGAATTCCTTCCCAAAATCCCATCCAGCCCTGCCCTCTGGCAGTGGGAGCCATTCCCTGTGTCCCTCCATCCCTTGTAAAGGGTCTCTCTCTATCCTTGCCAGCTCCTTCAGGTCCTGGAAGGCCACAGTGAGATCACCCTGAAGTTCTCCTCTCCAGGCTGAACAATCCAATTCTGCCAGGCTGCCCCCAGAGCAGAGCTGCTCCATCCCCTGATCACCTCGGTGGTCTCCTCTGGACTCAGTCCAGCAGGTCCATGTCCCTCCTGTGCTGGGAGCCCCAGAGCTGGGAGCAGCACCCCAGGAACTTTTCATATACAACAGACAAAAACCAATCTCCTCTTTGAGACGTACAAGAAGTGCTGACAGCGATTCTGGGGCCAGCAAATGACGGGATTTCAGTCAGACTTGGTCCTTTACTCTCTGAGGAGCAGGAATCACCACGTCTGATCCACTCTCAGTGATGAATGAGAAAAGCACTTGTGGAGAGGAACACTCCCGAGGAATTAAGGAATGAGGATGCAGTCACAGAGGGAGCGTGTGCCAGGGGCAGCCTTTCAGTCTGGGATGATCTCAGTGGTCCTGCAGCCACATCACCAAAGTCCAACCCCCAGCACACATCCCTAGGGAACAGGCTTCCCTAGGGACACCAGGCTGAAAGCAGAGGGGCCAGAACTTGGACGGGGTTTGCACAGGGCACAGCTGCACACCCAAAACCTGGAAAAGGCACTTTTAGGGTTGTATGATTACTCATCCAGCTGTGATCCTGAAATGATCATGATGATGCTCTGGAACCCCAAGGCACCGTCCCAAAAGGACAAGAAGTCTCAAGCTCCTCCCAGAGCACACACATGTCTAGAAATGCACAGGAATTTTAAATTTATGTCAAATTCCAGCCCTACTTCATGCATCCTGCTTTTACAGACTCCCAGAATGGCTGAGGTAGGAAGGGAACTCTGGAGTTTCTCTTGTGCAATCCCCCTGCTCAAGCTTTTCTTGCAAGTTCTTGCCAAAATAGTTCAGCTTGACTTTCAGAATGGTTTTTACAAAAATGTGCAAGTGCCCCGAGTTGTTCTTCCTCTTACACCTGTGGAAAAGTTTCTTCCACAGAAATATGAAATGAATATTGTGCACAGAAAATCTGTCAAAGGAGCATATGTGATTCCCAAAGTCTCCTGCAAACACGATTTCTCTTGGTGTCAACCTCACGGCATTACAAGAGATCAAAGAAGAGCCAATGCAGGATGGAAAAACTTGGGAAGGTGAAGACTCAGTTTCCTTTTGAATTCTGACAACTTTTTCTGGTTTTTTAACTGCTTAATGCTACTGAGCCTCTGACAGTGTCACATCCTTGTGCTGGGGAATCACCGCCCTGGGAGGGGTGCAAGGCTGGGGATGGAAAATCACCTTTCAATTATGAGATGCACGTACGGCCCCAGCATATGTGGAATGTTTACATCCTTAGGAAAACAATCCAACTGTTCCACTCAATCTCCAGGGCAGACTGACAGGGGAATTTTTCTTTAATAAAGAACTTTGATGGAACAGGAATGTCAGCTTTAGTGCACACTGCACTGACTGGAACAGGATCAAAACTAAGTTCCACACGATGTTTTCAGGGGAAAAGAGGAGAATGTTTCATGGAATTTAAGTCGGGATTTGGCTTGCATCCTAGAACATATATCTTGTTATGAAAACTGCTGAAACACTTTTAAGTGGGCAAGCCATAAGTGTCCTTGGAGCCATCCAGTCAACTGGAAGTCACAGAGGCAGAACCTCCTAAAGTAGAAAAGCCTGAAATTGGGAGGGGGGGTGAGGGAGGGGCAAGTAATCTTGGAATCCTATCTGTTATCCAGAACGGCTCCCTTGTGCCTACAGCGTGAAGTAGTTACAACTTGTTTTCTGCTATTGTCACAGATCCAGGACGTTACTCTGGCTAAATCATAATCTCTTCCTGCCTCAGTTCATCCATGTGCAAACCTGGTTCGCTAACTCTTACCTTAATGTGTCATGGGGCTTAATTAATAACACTTAGGTCTTTTAAGTCCTCTACAAACATTAACTACTTCTTGTAACAACTCTCCAAGGTATTATTATCCCCATTTTACTCATGGAGAAACGGCAAAAGAGGTTGTCACTTGCCCAAGGCAACAGAGTAATAGTTACACTTGGAGATCCTCTTCACGGGCTACTCTAACAGTGGAAACATATCAACAAAGGCAAAGACAATAACGACTAACTCGAAATTACTTTTAAAAGCGCACCATGAGCATCTAGAAGACGACGGAAAATCCCTCCCAGAAACAATAGGCTTGGGACCAGAAAAAGCATCACAACTGTCACCACAGAGAACGAAGCGCCCTGGACAGACCTAGGCTCGAGCTCACCCAAACAGCCTCGCGCACACAGCCAGACCTGTCCTCTCGAGCGCTCTTAAGTACCATAAAATTGAGCAACAGGCTCGCACAGTGCTCTCCAGTAACACCGAGCGAGCAGATAATCAATGTGGTATGCAGCATGCTAATTCCTTCCGCCGCGTTCCCAGCGGGGACCGGGAATGCCAATAACGGCCCTGGACGGCGGGGGTCCCGCACGGTGCTGACGGCGACAAAGTTGGTGTCCCCCGCGCCCCGGCGCGCTGACATCCCTGCGGCCGCCGCCGGGAGCCCTGGCCGGGCAGCGCGGAGCCCGTCCCGCTGCCCCCGGGGCCGCTGACAGGCGCGTCCAGCGCTGCCGCCCCGGCGGCGACAACACCGCCAGCAACAGGCGCGTCCTGCGCG